TATATCTGTGAAGGGCCTTTATTTGCTATCAGCCTGGGTCTCTGGCTCCTGCAAGGTGTGTTTGTAGCCTGTCTCCCTTCCCTGTGAAATGAGAGAGTGTGGAAGCCTAGGACCCTCATTGTCAGCCTACCTAGTCTTTTGGTTCCTCCTCAGGTCTCAACTCACTCCACCTTATGGGTAGGTTTGGTTAAGTTTATTCCCTTTCTACATTTCACTTCTCTGATCTGACCACAGAAGCTCAGATTTTCAAGTGTTTTTTCCTTATCTTGGTTGTTGTTGTTTGTGCTACCTGGATGATAAAATCTATGTTCAAACAAAGTCATACAAAAACACGTATGTAAAGCACAGTGTTCTGTCTAAAGCAGGAATGGCTCCCCAAGACCCCAAGCCCTGACCCTCCTTTTCTACCCTGGGGCTCTTCTGCCAAGCCCTAAGATGTCCTTAGTGTGCCTAGACCCCCAAGTGAGACAGTGTGGCCTTCAGCTCTATTCTCTGAAGAAGTTCAACTGGAGGTGGGAATGACTGTGGTCAGAGGTCAGATGCATGTCCTAGTCCTCCCAGGAAGGACTGCATAGGGGAGTCATTTGTGCTTATGTCCCCCACCTGACGGTGACCTCTTTCTGGAGGTCCTGGCATTCCTATTTCGGCCAATCCTCGAATTCACAGAAGGCACTCACTAAATGTTGCTGAGTAGAATGAGTGAATGATGATGACAAGGTGAAGAAAGAAATGACCTCAGCCCCTTTGCTTCAGGATTTAAGAACAGTTGTTGTTTTCTGGCAGAATGGTGTGGGAAGGAGGAGGGAGCTCCAAGGGAGTCACCACTGGGATAGTCAGAACTGGTGACTTGGGGAAAGGGCTCTAGGCTTCCCTGCTAACCAGAAATTCTTCCTAACTGACTGTCCTTTTACTCCAGTCTTCTTGTGCATACAACTGCACAGACTAATGCTGAAAACCACGAGAATTCTCTGCATACTGGAAAAGAATCAAAGAAAATACTTTTTTCTTTTTCTTCCTTCCTAATTTCTTCTTTATAGTGAAGGGGATGGAAACCAGGACTTCTTCCATACTGAGCCAGCACCCTAAACTGAACTACATTCCCAGCCCCGGAGAAGGTTTTGTTTTGTTGAGATAGGGTCTCACCATGTAACACAGGCTGGCCAGGAACTTACTATGTGGCCCAGGCTGGTCCTGAACTCCAGATTAGTCTCCTTAGTGCTGAGAAACAGGCATGTACCATCATACCCAGCTTCAGAGAAGATCCTACAACCTCTTCTATCCCCCAGAGTCCTCTAAGAGGCAAACCATGCTTGATACCCCCTGCTTTCCTTGTTGGTGTCTCCAGGGGTATACAGGCTTCTGAGGAGTCTAGGATAATGTGGAACACACCAGGAAGGAGAAGGCTTGGGACTGCTGAACAGAGTTGCCCCCCAGTAGCATCTCTACTTTCTCTCCCTCTTCACCTGACTTATGGTGGAGAACTCAAGGTGTAAGGAGCCAACAGAAACACTGGAAACAGGGTCTTTGGAAGGAAAGAGACAGATCCGAGAGGAAATGGGGTGAGGACCAGACCCTGTGGCTTTTTCACTTGCTGTGGCATTATCTCACCCCAGAGTCACATGCTTAATAAAAACTTTTCATTGAACATCTTTAAGGATACCCAAACCTGGTACCTGTGGGGTTTGGTCCTAATATAGCACTGCTGGCTGTACAGGGCAGATTTCACTCTTTTGAACTTTGGACTCTCCCTCCCTCCCCTACCCCCCTCAGCCTGGTGCTGCCTGCTTGCCTTTTTGATAAAGTAGCTATATACTCTGCTTAAGTCTGCATATTAAGTTCTCACAGCCTCCCAGGAGGTGGAATTCCTATTCAAGCCATTATACAGATGAAGAAACCAGGGCTCTGTTAGAGGCAGGGCAGATTGTTAAAGAACAGGAGTGGACCCTGGTATGAGGAAGGTCATCTAGTCAGTGGCTTTGGGCATGTGTGAATGCCAGTGAATTTCTGACCCAGCATCTATCCTGGCCACTGGTTCCACCTGTGCTAGCCCTACATTTTCACATGGTCCTCCTCTCCCTGTTACCCCCGTCTCAAGCTTCCCCTGAAACCCTGGCATCTGCCCCAGGAAGAGGCCAAGCCCAGAAGGCGTCCAGGGGGAAAAGACCCAGCTCCCTGATCTCCATTTTAGCCTGTCTCTCCCGTGTTAGGATCTACTTACTGACTGCTGAGCAGGAAAGGATTGTAGGCATTGCTTATTGATGGCTAAATTGAGACCTGCAGAGGGAAAGTGATTCACCTATGACCAACAGCTTCTAGCCCTTCAGACTTGTCAAGTGCTCTTTCCACCAAATCAAATGGGCCTGGGAGAACTATGTTCAGTCCTGACCCCTTCCCTACTCAGTCAAAGCCTCTAAGAAGACAGGGTATGTTTCCCAGAACTGCCCTCTAGGTGAGAACCTGCCTTGTCAGCTGTGTTCTTAAACTAACTGCTCTAATATCCCACCCCAACAGACCTGGCCTGGGAACAGATAAAGGTAGGAAGAAGGAAGAGAAAAGATGGGGTTGTCTTGTTGGGAACTGAAAACATACACATTACCTACAGGCATTATGAAAACATATCTACTATGCAGCTACAATCCACAGTAAGAAGAATGGGGTGGGAGTGAGTGGGGTGGGGGTCTCAGGTATCCCTTCAGAGCTGAAGGTGCTGATAAGGGTTAGGGAGGTGACCTCAGTTACCCATTGGTTGTCCCAAGCTGGGCCTGCCCAAGTCTTTATGGAGTTTCTAGACAGCTGACAAGCTAATCAAAAGTTATATGAAAGGGTAAAGATGTAGTTCAGTGGTAGGCCTAGCATGGGTGATTGGGTTCCATTCCTCGGCACTGAAAAAAAAAGACTTTGCCCAGCATGATGTGTCTGTAATACCAGCATTTGGGAAGGGAGAGCTAAAATGACTGTGAGTTCAAGGTCAGCCTGGATTACATGGGGGAGGGGCGGGGGCTGACTCAAGTCTTAAAGGACTTGAGCCAAGAAAAGGAGTCAGGGACACAGCAAAAATCTTGTTGACATGGTATGGGCTGAGGCAGAAAGACAGTGTGCTCTTAGGAGTGGGGAGGGATCACAGAAGTGGAAGAAAGGCGGGGGGG